CCATGAGGGTCTTAGGACTGTAATGGCCTGAGTCCTTGGCCCCAAAGGTCGGACCCTAACATCTGACCCAGATGAATCCTGTGGAAGGGCTGGCTGTGCATGAAAGAGGAAGATGGTATTTCTGTTTCACCATTTTGCTTGCCTCCTTGTCCCCCAGTACCCTGTGGACAGTTCATGGATCTCCCCAGAGCTCCGGCTGCAGAGTGATGACATCTTGCCCTTGGGGAAGGACTCAGGGCCCCTGAGTGACCCTATAACAGGCAAGCCCTATGTGCCCCTGTCAGAAGCAGAGGAGGTACGACTGAGTCAGAGCCTGCTGGAGCTGTGGCGGCGGCGAGGGCCAATCTGGCAGGAGGCTCCCCAGCTCCCTGTGGACCCACATCGGGACACCATCCTCAATGCCATTGAGCAGCACCCGGTCGTGGTCATCTCTGGGGACACAGGTTGTGGGAAGACCACGCGCATCCCCCAGTTGCTGCTGGAGCGCTATGTGACCGAGGGCCGCGGTGCCCGCTGCAATGTGATCATCACCCAACCTCGCCGTATCTCAGCTGTGTCTGTGGCACAGCGGGTCAGCCATGAACTGGGCCCTTCCTTGCGACGGAATGTGGGCTTCCAGGTGCGCTTGGAAAGCAAGCCCCCAGCCCGAGGCGGGGCCCTGCTCTTCTGCACTGTGGGCATTCTGCTGCGGAAGTTGCAGAGCAACCCCAGCCTGGAGGGTGTGAGCCATGTTATTGTGGACGAGGTCCATGAGCGGGATGTGAACACAGACTTCCTGCTGATTCTGCTCAAGGGCCTTCAGCGGCTCAACCCGGCCCTGCGGCTGGTGCTCATGAGTGCTACAGGTGATAATGAGCGCTTCTCCCGCTACTTTGGTGGCTGCCCTGTCATCAAGGTGCCTGGCTTCATGTATCCCGTCAAGGAGCACTACCTGGAGGATATCCTTGCCAAGCTGGGCAAACACCAGTACCCACACCGACACCGGCACCATGAGGTGAGGATGCTCCAACCCATCCAACCCAGGGCTCCTGGCTTTTCCTCTGGATTTCCCTTCTCCCTGTCCCCGTTGCTTGGTAGCTTAGCACAAGTTACCCTCCCCAGTCTAGTTTCCTTGATAAAATCAGGAATAATCATGTTTGAGTGACAAGGATGTGAGGGTTAAGAGGGGTTAAGAGGCTGTGCCTCACTAAGTAATCGTGGCTGTGTCCTATGCACGGACCCCACACCCCAGAGCTATGACTGTAGCCTCTCTTCCCTCACCCCAGTCTGAGGATGAATGCGCACTTGATTTGGATCTTGTGACGGATCTGGTTCTGCACATCGATGCCCGGGGGGAACCAGGTGGGTGCTTCCTCTGCCTAGCCATGCCCACCCCGCCACCCAATTGCCAGAGCAACCGGCTCATGCCTGCAGGGCCCCTTTACAGGTGGGATCCTGTGCTTCCTGCCTGGTTGGCAGGAGATCAAAGGAGTGCAGCAACGCCTCCAGGAGGCCCTGGGCATGCACGAGAGCAAGTACCTCATCCTGCCAGGTGAGAGCCGGGGTATGAACCCTAAAACGAGTCTTGCCTTCTCTCCTTAACCCAACTGGGACTTGGGGAGCTCAAGTTTTTGACCAAGTTTTCACTACTTTTCACTGGGTTTATGATTTGTCTGGGCCTTGGTTTCATCAAGATGGGGTCAAACCAGGTGTATTGTGGACACCTATAATCTCAGAACTTGGGAGGCTGAGGAGGACCATCACAAGTTTACCCTCAGTGACCTAGCAAGACCCTGCTCAAAAAATTACAAAGGGGTGGGGAGGTAGCTCTGTGGTAGAGCGCTCCTGGGTCCAATCCTAAGAAGAAAAAGATGGGTTCTAGGAGCTAGTTCTGGTGGGAGCAGTGCCCATAACCATCATGCATCTTATTGTCCTTCAGTGCACTCCAACATCCCTATGATGGACCAGAAGGCCATATTCCAGCAGCCTCCAGTGGGGGTGCGCAAGATTGTCTTGGCCACCAATATTGCTGAGACCTCTATCACAGTCAATGACATTGTGCATGTCGTGGACAGCGGCCTGCACAAGGAGGAACGCTACGACCTGAAAACCAAGGTGGCACCTCTCTCCTGAGCCCAGCCAGTCCTTGGGGGGGATTTCATTTCTGAGGTGGCCCTTAGGACAGATGCACTTTATACCTGTATGTTTTGAGAAGGCTAGAGGATCTCAGTGTTCCTATAGTGAGAGGGCCTTGAGCAGGGGTATTTGAGAAGCAGGAAAATACTGAGGAAAGCCTATGGCTTCTCACTTGTCCATTTCCCCAGGTGTCCTGCCTTGAGACTGTATGGGTGTCAAGAGCCAATGTGATCCAGCGCCGGGGCCGGGCAGGCCGCTGCCAGTCAGGTTTTGCCTACCACTTGTTCCCTCGGAGCCGGCTAGAGAAAATGGTCCCTTTCCAAGTGCCAGAAATCCTGCGCACACCTCTTGAGAACCTGGTGCTGCAAGCTAAGATCCACATGCCTGAGAAGACGGTGCGGCAGAGGCAGGGCTGGGCAAGGACGGGACTCTGGAAGGGGCAGGAGAGATGTAGACTCATGCGGACTCTGGCTTGTTCTTTCTGTAGGCAGTGGAGTTCCTTTCCAAGGCCGTGGACAGTCCAAATATCAAGGCTGTAGATGAAGCTGTTATTTTGCTCCAGGAGATCGGTGAGTGTAGGCTGGGCCAGACTAGGCTGGGCTGGACTGTGAGAGACTTTGGGTAGGACTGACAGCTGAACTGTTGCAGGGGTGCTGGACCAGCGGGAGTACCTGACCACCCTGGGACAGCGCCTGGCCCACATCTCCACTGACCCCCGGCTGGCCAAGGCTATAGTACTGGCAGCCATCTTCCGTTGCCTGCACCCACTGCTGGTGGTTGTTTCCTGCCTCACCCGGGACCCCTTCAGTAGCAGCCTGCAGAATCGGGCTGAGGTGGACAAGGTTAGACCTAGTCCTGTCCTGCAGTTGTCTGGTTGTCCGATCCAACCCTTTATCACCTGCTGTCCTGAAGTGACCCCAGTACCTTCTCTCCTCTTAGGTGAAGGCGCTGTTGAGCCACGACAGCGGCAGTGATCACTTGGCCTTTGTGCGGGCTGTGGCTGGCTGGGAGGAGGTGCTGCGCTGGCAGGACCGTACTTCCCGGGAAAATTACCTGGAGGAAAACCTGCTCTACGCACCCAGCCTGCGCTTCATCCACGGTCAGCCCCAGCCCCCACACCTGGTAACTCCCCCTCCCAGCTTTGTGACATGGACCTCTGTTCACTCAGCACCTTGCCTCCCCAGGGCTCATCAAGCAGTTCTCAGAGAACATTTATGAGGCCTTCCTGGTGGGGAAGCCTTCGGACTGCACGCTGCCCTCTGCCCAGTGCAATGAGTACAGTGAGGAAGAGGAGCTGGTGAAGGGTGTGCTGATGGCCGGCCTCTACCCCAACCTCATCCAGGTGCTTCTTTCAGAAGCAGTTGAGCAGCTCTCAGCCTCTTTTCCCATCTGCTTGCTCCTAGCTCAACCCCATCTGTTCTTTCCTCCTTCCCTGTAGGTGAGGCAGGGCAAGGTGACCCGGCAGGGGAAGTTCAAGCCCAACAGTGTTACCTACAGGACCAAATCTGGCAACATCCTGCTGCACAAGTCCACCATCAACAGGTGGGGGGCAGGCAGGACTAGACAGGGCAGCTGGGAAAGGCCAGAAGGGTGGCCTCACCCAGCCCTGTGTTCCCTAGGGAGGCCACACGGTTACGGAGCCGCTGGCTGACGTACTTCATGGCTGTCAAGTCCAATGGCAGTGTCTTTGTCCGGGACTCCTCCCAGGTGCACCCACTGGCTGTGCTGCTGCTGACAGATGGGGATGTCCATGTCCGTGGTAGGTACCTCAGCTTCTGGCCCCTGCTCCTTCACAGGCTCCATGTTCTCAGAGGCCTGGCTTCACATCAGTTCCCCACTGTCTCCTCCCTTCACCCAGATGATGGGCGCCGGGCCACCATCTCCCTGTGTGACAGTGACCTATTGCGGCTAGAGGGTGATTCTCGAACGGTGCGGCTGCTGAGGGAGCTGCGACGGGCCCTGGGCCGCATGGTGGAGCGGAGCCTGCGCAGTGAGCTGGCTGCACTTCCACCCACTGTGCAGCAGGAGCATGGGCAGCTGCTTGCGCTGCTGGCAGAACTGCTGCGAGGACCCTGTGGCAGCTTTGACGTGCGCAAGACAGCTGATGACTGAGTCCCTCTTCCGCTGGGGCTGTGTACAGAGTGCAAATGTTTATTTAAAATAAAGTTCTATTTATCCCTTGTGAGTATTGCTTATCAGCTCCTCTCTCTAGGCCTCAGCACTCTCCATTGTGGGCCACAGTTCCCTACATGAATGAAGGTATGGCTGGGCCTGGTGGCGCTTACCTGAAATTCCAGTGACTTGGGAGGATCACAACTTCAAAGCAAGCCTCAGCAACTTAGTGCCCTAGTCTCAAAATCTGGGGAAAAAAAGGGGGGGGGCACTGGGAATGTGGTGCAGTGGTTAAGTGCCCCCGGGCTCAGCCCCTGTACCAAGAAAAATAAAAAGGTATGGAAGGGCGAGGCTCAGAGATGTTTACAGGGGCAGGCTGGCTGTGGTTCAAGTCTTGGGAACTGTCATTTAGGGCTTGGTGCTTTCCACCCCTCTCAAGATGAGCTCCCAGTCAGTGCTGTCAATCAGCTCTAACTGCTTGGGGAGACCCACTATTGACACCTGATTTAGGAGTACCCACACTATGGGGAGTTTGTCAGATGGTCACTGTACTTGTAGGTTTAGAGTGTTGAGCAGCTCCTTCCCAGGCACCTCCTTGGGTGGTATGGTAACCCTGTTGCAAGCACAGAGCAAATCCGTGGAAACGCCCGGGCAAATGTAGTTTTAATCCTTTATTAGAAACCATGCAAAGGGGACAGAGTGCATTGCACATCAGGACCTTGACACAGGATGAGATGGGCATTGGGTACAAACCAAGACAAGCAACACGGGACCTATGTGGTGGGACATCACGCAGCTTTATTTACTCTTAAAATCAATACAACACAGGGGTAATGGCTGAGCCATAAGCAAATTGGAAAGTATTCCAGAACTGTCCCATCCCTAGAAGATTGCAGAGTAGTATACATCACACAGGGGCCTCTGGTCCCCATCTTGTCAGGCCAGCCTTCTCAGGTTCTCTGGCTTGTAGGACTCTTCAAGGGAGCTGGGACCAAACAGGCACACTGACCACTCATGTGTCCTACCTAGAGAGCTCTCCAGTTGGTCTGCCTCCTCCCCAATCCTTGGTGAAAGGGATTAAAAGGACCCAGAGACTGTTGTCAACCTCAGCATCCTCAAGTTCCCAGGTACCTTCAGGCCCAGCACCCATCACTTCCTTCACCCCAATTTCATCTTTCTGAGAAAACACTGGTGTCCTACAGCCCCTGGCACATTTAGAGCACTAGGCAGACAGCTGGGGAAGAAATTCCACCTTCCTGCCTTGGGCTACACTTTCTCCATCTCCACTAGGCCTGTGCAATTTCTTGGCATGTGCTCGGGAAGCTGAGGATCTGATGTCAAGCTTTCCCAAAGACACAGCTGCCTCAGAATTGGAGAGGATCCTTAGGCCCAGCAACTCACTCCCTCTATGTGCAGATAAAATTCGATTCGAACCTAAGGGGATGTGAGGAGCACAGGTGGAGATTGTGGAGTTCAAGATCAGGGCCAGAGGGGCCAAGTCTGGGCCAGCCTCCTGAGGCAAGTCTGCACAGCAGAAAATGCCCCCCAGAGGAGAAACCCGTGGAAAAGCCCAGGCCACTTCACTACAGACTTATGTTTTAATCCTTTATTAGAAACCATGCAAACTTTTAATACAAAAAATACAAGTGCAATAAGAATCATGTCAATACAATTCCCGGGATTTCTCCTCACTGCAGCCATCCCACAGGTGGGCCCAGCTGGGTTGGCCACCCCTCCACAGGCTGGCCTCTCCTGCCTCTCCCCGCTCCTCTCCAGTCAGGTTAGAAGGGAAGTGGAATGGCTTGTTCTCGTGCCTTTTACTTTTTAAATTTTCAGACCTGATTCCCCACTGTCCATATGAGCTTTGGACATCTCAGGCTTCCCTGGACATGAGGGCTTGAGTGTCCTAGACCTAAAGGATTTTGACCTCAATTTTTTTCCTGTTTCTCCAGCATTGGCTTTGCATTCCACAGCTGACCACCAGATCCCAGGGAACAAGACAGATGCCAAAATCAGCCTCTTGGTTAGAAAAGAAAAGCAGCATACACACAAAATACCAACACAACCAGTCCACACTGACTAGCCCAAGTATGCCTGCCCTGTTCACCAGGCCGCAGCACCACACCTCACTTCCCTGCCCACAGTGTCTCAAGGGCCCTGAGCTGCCCAGAGAGGGCAGCTCCCAATGCCTGATATCCTCCTGGGTGGAGGCTTAGGATCATCTCCCCTCCCTGTTTCCTTTAACACCTACTGAGGACTCTCATTTACACATGGCTTCAACCTGCAAAACTATTCCACCAATTTATAGGTTACTAGGAAAAAGAATAAAAAGTGTGACAGCAGCTAGGCAGGTATGGTAAGCAGCGGGACAGGCAGCACCAACCCCTAACTAACTTGGGGCAGGGCAGCAAGAGGGCAGGCACCACCTGCATGGTAGGTGCCATTGTGGGGGTCAAAGGGAGAGGCAGTGGCTTAGCAGACTCCAGAGGATGCAGTCAGTGCCCGGCCATCACAGAATCCACCTCCACTCTTCCCTCCAGGTTGACCAAAGGAGAAGGGACGGGACGGTATGTCAGTTTCTTCTGGGTTTGGTCCAGAAAACCCAAACAAAGGAGGTTGGAATCCGGTTCCCCCTCCTAGATCCCATGGGACCCCAACCCACCCCATTCCCCTCCCACCTTCTCCATGGAGTAGTGGTGCAGTGATGGACAGGAGCGAACCCAGGAGCTGGGCCCTGGGAGAGAGCGGAAGGAGGTGTGTGGGCAGAACTGCTGCTGCCCTGGGCAAGCGAGGCAGGAGGGCAGGGGCCTAGAGGGCTGCCTAGCACCCAGGTGCTCATGGGTCTAGTACACAGCCCGGGAAAGGGAGCCAAGGGCCCGGGAGCCCAAGCTGGGACCGCCAGGGAAGTGGGGGGGCCGGGAGACAATGTCGGCCCCATGGTCGGTGCGGGCCCTGGCGTTTGCCCGGAACGTCAGCCTGTAGGTCTCAATCTGCAGTGACACGGGAGGAGGGAAGGGGGAGGGTAATGGGGGAGACAAGAGGAGGAACACAGGGGAGACGGAAGACGAGACCAGAATGTCATCATTAGATGCCTGGAAAATAAAAGGTTACTGTGTTAAAATTTAGGCCACACTCTAGTCAAAAAACAAAGGACTTTCAATTTTCAGCCAGTGGCAGGGCCCCTGGCAGGCCCTCAGGCCGAGCCCAGCCACTTACTTGTCTCCTGGATCTGGCAGTCCAAGGTCTGGGCCTCCCTTTGGTCACCACCCCCCGACAGGGTGGTGTGGCCACTGAGGCCACTGGCTGAAGTGGGGGCGCCAGCTCCAGGTGCTGCCTCAGAGATGGCCGGCTCCTCCCCAGCAGGGGGGCCCGCACACGGAGGGGCCTCGCTGCCACCGCCCTCAGTCTACAATGAAACAGTGGGGGAGACAATGTGGGGTCAGTCGGGGAGGGAGTGGGATGGGTGATGGTGGAGGGTCTCACACACAACCCCACTTCCCGGCACCCACTGGTTCAAGCTCAAGGCACAGTTACCTGGAGAATCTGGATGGTTGCCTGCAGCTCCCCACCCAACCCAGCAGTCTGGTGATATGCCCTGGGAGCCCCTCTGTGGAGCACAGGGCCTTATGAAGCCTCTCTGAGGCTAGACTTCCCACTAAGGCCAGCACCAAATAAAAAGGGCTATCAGGACAAACAGCAGAAAGCCAGAAAGGGTGACCTGGAGCCTGGGCCTGGACTTGATTGGGAAGAGGGGATACTGCATTGCCACCTCTGATCCTCCACAATCCCAGACCAGCCCTGCATAGCATGCACAGGAGGGTGCTCAGCAGCCCATCGGGACCTGCCTGCTCATTTATGTGGTCACATCCCCTGATATATAGCCTCTTCTGTGTTGGGCACATTCTGGGGCCCTTGGACACAAGGAGGTATGAGCCAGGGAGGCTTTGGGGACTCAAACAGCATCATAGAAAGGAAATCTGGGGGACACTGAACACTCGGTGGGGATAAAGTACAAAAGAGGGAACAACAGTGGGAGGCACCAGTGAGCTTGAACACTGGTGTCCCAGAGTGCTCAAAAAGTGACAATGGAGACTTCTATTTGGTTTTTAATCACAACAGAGAAAAAAACAGGTCCACGTGTTAGAAAAATAATGCCAGAAATAATAAAGGGATACAACTGAATAAAAAACATAAGGCTTACGGTCAGAAAGACCCAAATGTGAATAACAGTCTATACTTGCTGGCTGTGTGGCCTTGAACAAGAGGCCAAACCTCAATGTTTCACTGAGACAGACTTGGTTCAGAAGAAGACTGGAACAGCATCCTCAGCAAGGACCCTCCCCCCAAATGTTCACTGAACCCGAGTGGGCCTGGAATCTGGATGGAAAGGAAGGAAGGGTAGGCTGGGCATGGACCAGCACAGGCTTGCAGACGCAGAGGGAGGGACGGCCAGAGCAGTCACTCTCACCCCTGCCCTTTGCTCAGCTTTCCCTGAATCGAGGCAGCATCCTCCTGCTTGGAGGCCTGCAGGACACTGCCCCCAAGGTCCCCCATCCACCCATGTCTTGGAATAAAGGACAGACAGAATCTAAGGCACACATAGTGTCTCATGGAACAGTGGAAGGAGGGAGGGAGGAGAGAGGAGAGGGCAGGAAGGGAGAAGAGGCCTGGCCAGTGCTGAAGAGGGGAGATTTGCCACCTGAGTTCTCTCCCAGAGCCCTGGGTAGGTGACCTGAGCAGACCCATCCAGAGGCAGGGTCCAAGGTCACGCCAGATCTGCTGTCACTGGCAGCTGGAAACGCAGACTCTTGCACCCAGGCCAAGAATAGAATCTGACATGGAGCAGATACCGCATCCCCCTCCATAAGACAAGCAGGCAACTGTGTGTCATGTGAAAACGGCTGGGTTGGGCTCCATAAGTCAGGCCAGAGCTCCCATGGGCAAGGTTCTGCCACCAGCTGACAGGTGAGAGGTGGCTGGGCCTCTTCACCTCTCCTGCCTTGCTCAGGACTGATGGTGGATGATGGGAAAACAGCAATAGTGTAGGTGAAGATACGACTCCTGAAGAGACTGAGGGACGGTGACAGGTGCCCACCTGCCTGGACCCTGATCCTAGCTGCACAGTCACCCCCCTCCCCAGCTTTGTTCCCTCAGTGACCCACTCGCTACCTTCACAGCACCTCCCGCAGGCAGGTGGCCCACGTTATCCAGGGATCCCACCTTGGCCTGGGCCTTCTCCTTGAAGTTCAACTTCTGACTTTCAATCTTGACATCTCCCCCACCTGGAACCAGAAAAGAATTGATCACTGAAGCAGGTGGAGAGCTGAAACAGCAATCTAGCTATGTGCCCAGTCTAGAAATAGAGAAAATGTAACCTGCTCCTGGGTGGCTCTGAGGAGGCCCCGTGAACAGGCTTGTCATAATAGGGCTATTCTTTTTTTCTTAAAAAAAAAAAAAAAAAAAAGTATGTGTGTGTGTGTGTGTGTTGTGTATGTGTGTGTATTTAGTTGTGGATGGACCCAATACCTTTACTTTATTTATTTATTTTTTTATGTGGTGCTGAGGATTGAACCCAGTGCTGCATCCATGCAAGACGAGCACTCTACCATTGAGCCATAAATAACCCAGTCCCATAATAGGGCTATTCTTACTGAGTAGGGCTGAGATACTCTCCATCTGGCAGTGGGGTCGTCCTCAGGGAGGGACAGCCATCCTCATCCACACCCACAGTGCCAGGTTGCAGCCTGTACAGCTATGACCAGGCCTGGTGCTTGGCATGCAGAACACAGACTGCAGGGCGAACTCACTACAGTGGCCCAGACAACAGTGCCTGTGATTCTCTTGACAGGGTGGTAACTCCCTTGACCTAACCCTTCCAGGTGGCATTTCTCAGCTAGAGCCTCCATGAATTGACATGAATGTTCTATCAGGGGTTCTGATAATCCCTTCTGAGGCAGGCACTAAAGCTGATGGAAAAGAGAAGTCCCTTGCTCAAATCACCACCAAGTTAGTGAATGACAGGGACAGGATGAGAATATCCCCTGAGTTCTGCAGTAAAAAGCAGTAACTGGAAAAAGGAGAGAGGTGGCCTCAGAACTGGAAGTTGAGAAAGGGCAGGCATGGTCCAGGCCAGCCGTGGGATCCAGTGTTAAGCAAAGGTGACCTACACACATGGCAAGGTTCAGAACTCATTGTGTGTATCAGTCTGCCCACACTGGGCACCCATCCCTTTTCAGGCTCAGCAGCCTGTTTCCTGTTTAGTCCTCCTCTTCCATCTCCTCTCCCTCCAAATTACAAACCTCAATACTTAGCTTCTTGCTAAATTTTCCAGGTGTCTTATGCGCTGCACTGCTAGCCCTAGCAAAAACTAGATCTCAAGTCACTTGGTGTCAATTAGGGAAGTAGGTATCACATAGAAGTTAATCTTCCAAATAAAAGAAAATCAAAGGTTAATTAAGGACCAAATTGTTTTGATCTATCCCCTCACCCCCCACCCCGGGACACTTAACCACTGAGCCACATTCCCAGCCCTATTTTAAATTTTGAGACAGGGTCTTGCTAAGTTGCCTAGGGCCTCACTAAATTGCTAAGACTGGCCTCAAACTTTTGATGCTCCTGTCTCAGCCTCCCTAGCCACTGGGATTATAGGTGTGCACTGCTAGGCCCAGCTGTTTTGATCTTTTTAAACAGTGCAACTCTTAAGACAGACACCACTGCTGAGAGGGGAGGATGTTTCTGTGCCTTCTCCTTAGCTGACCCAGAGGGCTCATCAGAGACGCCAGACCAGAGTGTCTGTGCTGCAGTGACACTGTCTCATTCCTAGATCCTCTGTGTATCCAGGAACTGGGACACACAAGGCTGTGAGTTGACAGCCAAGGTAGGAGACCAGACTCTGCTCAGACACTGGGCTAACCATGCTGTGGGAAGGACATGACACTGCTGTAGTTCCCGAAGGCCTAGGTGGCAGTGGTGAATATCTCTCCTCCAATGCCAATATGTCACTGCTTAGGAGCATCTTTTTTTCCTGGATCTGAGAGGTAAGTTCCAACCACTACTTTCTAGCCCTCTGTCAGCACTAGCTTCTGGAATGCTTTTCTGAGAGGCGGAGGCAGGGCCAGTTTCTCAACCTAGCATGTGGCTCTGCTCTAGGCCTAGGTTGACTGTGACAGGCACACGGCAGGCATTCAAGAAAACAGCTGTGCAAATGGGGCCTTTATAGCTGTTCCTCCTCCAACTGGGAAGCAGCACCCTGCTATCCCTGACAGGGCCTGAAAACTCTGTTTCTACTGTGGGTCCTAGATGGGAATTGGCTCCGTGAGTCTTCATCGCAGGAAACCTCCCCAGCCAGAGGCAGCAGCAGACCCATGGCAGGACCATCTGCTTGGAGAGTGTCTGTGGGCACAAAGATTCCACTCACCAGGCTTGTGTTTGATGTTAGCCTTGGACCCACACTTGGAAGAGACCTTAGAGATGTCCACTTTCTTGTTCTGAATCTGAACCTAGGGAGAAGAAAAGGAAGAAATTACTACCTCAGAGAAGAGGGTATGATGTTAGGGCCAAACCCATATTGCCCTCATCATCTTCCCACAGCCAAGGTTTTTCTCCCCCGTTGTAAATCCCCGTCTGTCTATTCAAGGACAGGGTCCCAAAGTGCTTAAAAGAGCCTTCAATTTATCCTGGCCCTGCCCTTCATCTCTGATCACATCCCAGAGACCAGACTACTTTTTTTTTTTTTGTCTCTCTCTAACATAGAAACATGTTCAGTTTTCCCTGCAGACCATTTGGGCACCCTTCAAATGGCTCTACTTCCTAAATGTTGGCTCAAAAGCCAACATTAAGGCTCTCATGAAATGTTCCTTTTGTTTCACCTCAAAATCTTACCCATCTATTCCTCACCCAGAGAACCAGAGTAACATTTTGGCATATTTCCTTCCAGTTCTTTGCAATGCACTTCCCTGCAGCTGACAAACAACCCCATATGATTCTGCAAGTACCAACTCTGTGTCGTCAGTAGTTTCCCAAGAAAGATAGTAAATGCAAAGAAATGCCATGGAACAAGCTGTAACATGCTGTGTAAACTGAACCCTATTCCTAATATTGGCCATTTAGGCCACTGCCTATTTTCCACTTCTATAAATATGGCAGCAGTTAATATCTTTGCAAATGCAAAGTGTTTGTGACTCTGATGTCTCCTTTGGGCAAGATTCCCAGAGGATTGGCCACATGGTCAACGACTGAGACTGTTTTCAGGTATTTATGTTTGTTGTTGTTGTTGTTGTTACTGTTGTTGCTTGTTTTTGAGATGCTGTACTATGCTTGATATGTTTTCTGCTCCATGTAAGCCTCCACACAGGGTCTATTACTCAGCTGATTATCTGTTCATGTTTGGTGAATAATTGAAAGGATGAAGTGCCTTATAAAGTTATTCATCCCAAATGAATCATGGAACGGATATGCCCTGGGTTGGAGACTGGTTTGGATGTCCTCTACACTTGGTTCTACTTTTAAGGCCATCACATTCTCCTCCCCACCCTTCTCCACAGCCTTCCCCAGTTCTAGACTCACTCCCTCTCTCCTCACACTCTGAAGGGTCACCAATGTGAACTGTAGAGTAACTACTTCACCCATTCCACATCAACTACAGAGAAGCAGCCACTGCGCAAACACACAGCCTCTACTTTACTTATCTTTCCCCAAAAGCTGAAGTTTTGCCCAGATAAGAAAAATTCTTCTTTTCTCTTTGGGCCATGGTTCATTCCACAGATATTTATATATATTCATATCTCCAACAAGGATAGGGTTTATGACACATTCTATGCACTCCCCCCTAAATATGTGCTCCCAGGAGGTAAAACTCCCCAGCTATGGAGTTGGTGGTTAAATCACGGCAGTAAATACTTTGTCTGGGTTAGAAAAAAGTCTGTTGTTTATATTTGTCAGGGGCAGACATGGCCAACTCAGAGAGAGGGCCATGGAGTCCACATTCACATAGCTCCCCACTCTTGGTCTTCACAGGAAGGACAGAGGCATTCTTTTTAGGGAGGGTACTGGTGATTGAACCCAGGGGCATTCTTTTATTTTCATTTTGAAACAGGGTCTGGCTAAGTTGCTGAGGGTCTCACTGCATTGCTGAAGCTGGCCTTGAAAGTGTGATCTTCCTGCCCCAGCCTTCTGAGTCTCTGGAATTATGGTGTATATACCATGATGTCCCCATTTATCTCAATATAGCCTAAGGAGTCCTTATCTTTTTTAAATATTTCTTTTAGTTGTTAGTAAACCTTTATTTTATTCATTTATTTATATGCAGTGCTGCAAATAGAACTCAGTGCTTTGTACATACTGGGCAAATGATCTACCACTGAGCCACAAATCAGCCCTAGGAGTCCTTATCTTTTAAACTTATAGAATAAAATATTTTTAGTTGAGTGATATACCTAGGATTGGCATCCAAATAACTAGGGTGGGCAAACACCAGTCACCCAGTGTTGGCCATGAAAACACTAAACAAAGCCTAACTTGTATATCAAGCTCATTTTGCCATTTTTTTTTTCTATTTTTGTATGTTTGAAAATTTCCAAGTGTAGTGGTGTACAACTGTAGTTCAAGCTACACAGCAGGCTGAGACAGGAAGATTAAGAGTTTGAGGTTAGCGTCAGCAATTTAGCAAGACCCTGTCTCAAAATAAAAACTAAAATAAGGATAGGGGCGTGGCTCTGTGGTAAAGTGTTCCTGGATTCAAAAATAATAAAATATAAAAATTTTCCATAAAAAGTTTTAAAAAGCTTAACTTAGCCCACTTAGTTAACAAGGTCCACCACCTCTAAGATACAGCTCCTCTCCTTCCCTGGCTACTCACCTCTACCTTGTGCTCTAGTCTCCAAACCATGTACTCTTTCTAGCCTAAGATGTATGCCTCCTTCCCAGGGGTGGCCCAAGTATGTCCTCCTTAGGGAAGCCTGACAGCCAGCAAAGCATGTCTGTCTTTTGAAGGACACCTTCTTCACATGCCACGGCATCCACTGCCCCCTCTCTATCTGTATGTTTCCTCAGGATGCACCGCTCTGTGAGAATCTGCAGGCCTAACACAGATCCCAGAGTATGCTGTGGAAGTCAGCTGCCAACAGGTCTGCGCACCCATTTTCTGCCTCCTAAGGGTGAAATAGAACCAAGGCTGCCATAAGATCTTAAACTGGGAACATCCACAGAAGAAGGCTGGTATATTGAATACATGAACACATCACGTTCTCCCTTCCCCTCAAGTCCCCTGGCTCTCATCAAGGGATATTTGTTTGTAGTGAGGAGGACTAACTGGAATCTTGCTCCAAGTCTCTCATTGTGGCAGTAACTCTATGTATGTGTGTGTATGTTTTTTTTTTTTTTTTTTTGTACTGAGGATTGAACCCAGAAGTGCTCAACCACTGAGCCACATCCCCAGCCCTTTTTAGAGACAGGGTCTCACTGAGTTGCTAAGTGCCTTGCTAAGTTGCTGAGGCTGGTTTTGAACTTGCGATCCTCAGCCTCAGCCTCCCAAGCTGCTAGGATTACAGGCATGCACCACTGCGCCGGGCTTGTGGGTATGTTTATTTTTGGGAACAGATATAATACTGTTAGGACTACATGGTGAGTCCACTATTTTTAAATGACATGTTTGTTTAGGGTGGCATTAAGGAGGGGCTAAAGAAAGCTGTAGAGGAACTAAGGACTCTGCTGTCCTTAGTGGCCAGTGTATTCACCCTCATCATCTCACCTGGAGACACTGCTCACACAAGCAGTTTCCCAATACTCTCTAAGGAAGCCTCCTAAAATGAAAATGCTTTACAACAGCACATTCAGCCACACACACCTGTAATCCCAGCAACTCAGGAAGTGAGGCAGGAAGATCCAAGTTTGAGGGCAGCCTCACAACTTAGTGAGGGCCTAAGCAACTCAGGGAGACATTGTCATAAAAAAACAAAAAGGACCGTTATCACTACCAAAACAAAAATAAAATAGCACAATTACCCTCAAAAAAACTCTTGTTTGAAGTCGTGGACATATAGCATGGACAGATCCCAGTATGGTGCTGACTAACTGATAACTGCTCTCAGAGCTCTTATACACACAACATGTATAAATGAATGTCTACATCTCATACAATTTCACTGGGGTAACTGTTTGGTCTGTTTCTACCCAGGCAAAGAACCCAAGAGGAAAAGCTAGTGTGAATGCCTATCTGGGGGTGGGGGGGCACCCTCCTAGGCTGGTTCTCTCCCACTTCAAGCACAAACTGCCTTTCAAAGATTCAGCCACTACAGTTGACTCCACCCCGAGGTTGATTAATATGTGGCCAACACCAGCTGGTCAGGCTCTGTCTGGTCAAAGACTGCTTCAGTCCAGACCAGGAAGAGTTGCTGGGGAAGAAAAGCCTAGGAGGAGCCTGTGACAGGGAGCACTGCCAGGGGCAAGAAGGAATGCCTTAGGGACACATTTCTCATAATAAAACTGCTGGTGGCTGTTTGTAGGCCATGGGTATAATTAGAGGAGCAGGGCACAGAGTGGGAAAAGGAAAGGGGAAGCAGGACAGAACTTAACCCAGCTCAGGTCAGTAAGGAGAAGGAACCGAATGAACACAAAGAGAAACTGAGAGGGCAGGGCTACACGCGGATGGCTCCATGACATGCCCCTGGCACCGCCCTGCAGAATCCTGTTTAACTAGGCACTGTTACAGGGACAAGTAAAAAAAAAAAAAAAAAAAAACCACAGCATTTTCTTCACATACTAAATGAGACTGCCCAGTCTCTCCCTGCATCAGAAGCTCCCCTGTACCTGGAATCACAGTGCTGGCACAGGACGGCAGAAGATAAAAGGTAGGCATTCTGATGGAACAGAGGAAAGGACGACAAAAAGAAAAGGCAGAAAAAGTTGAGCGAAAGAAGGAAGGGATTAGAAAAGAAAAAAAATGGGAGGAAAGAGTAGAAAGTGAAAAGGGAAAAGGAGGCAGTGAAAGAAGAGTTCTAGAAGGAAGGGAAATAAAGAGAGAAGCTAGAATAATAAAAGAAATGAAAAAGCAGAGGAGTAGGAGGAAAATGTTAATTCTCTGATTTTATAATGACAAGGATTCAAGAATGGACCTTGGAAACATCTGGATACCTGTCTCAGCGTAGGTACTCCCCAGGAGCTACAAACGTACACAGACCTGTGCATCCCAGGCACAGATACAATAGAGTCAATAGGCCTATTCCCCTCACACTAGGTCTCTGACATAGGTGGAGGAAAAACCCAGAGCCTCTCACCCACTGGAGTGAGAAGAGACACATGAATGTCACTGGATGATGTTTTGGGACACCCAGTCCAAACACTTCTGAGCCCTGAGGTTTCCCCTCAATTGACTGGACTGCTTCTTGCAGAAAGCCCCAGGCCAGGCCACTGTGGTCCTGTCTGTAAGAGCAGGGGGTCCTTAGGTTTAGTCTAGACTTATTTTTGATTCAAGGGTAAAAACAGTTTCTTGAATCTTCCCCAGGGCTCCCCACAGTGGGCTATGTCTCAGATACCATCTGGCCAGAGCTTATACTTACATTACCACCTCCAGGGACATGCTTAATATTGTCCTTGGAACCACACTTGGACTGAATATGGCTGTAGCTCACTTTTTTGGAGACTATCTGGACCTGGAGTGTTAGAGAACAGAAAAAAAAACAACACAAAGGGAGAGGGCTGGTTAGATCTGACACAAGGCAGGCTGTGAGTCCACATATGATCACAATGAGCAACAGAGTTACTGTTAAACCTCTGCCCCCACCTTCGGCAAAACAGTGTGGAAAAGCACAGGAAAGGGATTAGAAAGAGCAAGAAAGAGAGTGAAAAGGTGAACAAACAACACGAGGACATAAGCAGTTGTTGCACAAGCACTTCGTGGTTGTTATAGAGCTGGGCTGTGGCTCCCAAGGCCCAGACAGCAGCAGGCCCCTTATGCCCACACCCTCCCATCCATCTTCTTGGCATGCCCCTTCCCCATGAGCTAGGCATACTGTCACTGGTTCTACTCTGTCAGAGTCCTGATCCTCTGGACTTGCTTACCCCTTGAATCTGAGCCCTGGAATTACTACAGCCAGACTCACCCTTGGAAGCAAAGAGTGCTCTGAGAAGCACTGGCAGCTGGCTACCAGGGCACAGATCTGATACTAACAGAAGGAAAGACACTGCTCATATAAGAATGAAGATGGGTACACAAACTTGGGACATTGGCGTTGGGGAAGCATAAACTTCAGCTTCAGCAGAAACTTAATCCATCTGTCTAAGGGCTTGAGAAAACACAGCGCAACAGGGGTTTAGGTTTAGACTTATTTTTGATTTGAGGGTAAAAACAGTTTCTTGAATCTTCCAGATGCTTAAATCCTATGCCCTGTGAGTTTCAAGTGCAAAGAGAACAGGCTCAATGGTGGCTGTTAAAGATGCACAATTCCACTGCATTGTATATAAATGGTTCCCTGGAAATGAGCAACACAGGTGCTGGCTCTCAGGTTTGTAACAAAGAATTCTTCTTGGGCCTTCTTGAGAAGGAATAGTTGCTGGGCATGGTGGCATACACCTGTAATCCCAGCAGCTCGGGAGGCTGAGGCAGGAGATCTCCAGTTCAAAGCCAGCCTCAACAACTTAGCAAAGCCCTAAGCAACTCAGTGAGACCCTGTCTCTACATAAAATACAAAATAAGGCTGGGGATGTGGCTCAGTGGTCAAGTGCCCCTAAGTTCAATCTCCAGTACCCAAAAAAACAAAAACAAGGAATACTTGCCAGCTTCCTTCCTTTGCTTCAGAGCTGGAGGGTTTGTGCAAATGCTGCAGCCCCCAGACTGCAGAGTTCCCCACAGAATACAGAAACCCACCAGGAGAAACTCGAACCTGTATAGGTTGTCACAGCATACCTTGCCATTTCTTGCTTTCTTCACAACTGTTTTTGTTTGTTTTGTGGTGCTGGGGATTGAACCCAGGGCTTTGCTCATGCCAGGCAAGGTGCTCTGCCACTGAGCTACAACCCCAGTCTTCCTTCTTCACAACTTTACCGATGAATAATTGGTTAGAAAACTACTTCCGAATGAGCTCTTGTCTGAGCCAGGGACCAGAAGCCATGGTACAACCTTCTTTACCTCCTCTCTACTACATATGCACTGTATGAGTTTTTTGGTCCCTAAGGGTTGAAACCCAGGCATCCATTGGCCAGAGAGGTCCACCCACAGTAGGTAGGAAGGGCCTGCTTCCAGGGTGTGGAGATAGAGGAAGGAACCTCTACCCTCCAGGAGATGCTGTTATTCCTTAGACCTAGGTGGGTTTTTACTGGGGATGAGCATCGCAAATTTCAGTTAAGAGGTTACCTGAGGAATCAGGACAAATGAAACTATCTCCACATTCAGCAGTTTTATGAGAAAGGCCTTCTAATTCAATTAGAGAATGGGCTGCAGAGTTCTGGGTACTGGAAAATCACCAGTGCCCTGTCTTATGAGAAAGAACCTGGGTGTCCTGTATGTTTTTACACATAGTGGATAGGTTTCAGATCAAGGTCACGTGAAGGAAGTGACTGAAAGCATTTAAATCCATTCTATTCAGCTGAGCCGATAGTCCTCAAGGGGCTAATGGGCTCCCACTCTCTTAGCTTTCAGGAATAATAAAAAAAACTTTCTGATGGCCGAGTCATCAAGCAGAGGAAGGAACATGGGAAAGAAGTAGAAACTAGTCAAGGACAAGAAAAACGTATAATAGAAGAGAAAATGACTCATGCTGGAAGAAAAGTGTTACCATCTTTACTTCCCCAGAGGGAAGTCTAAACAGAACTCACTTTCCCAGCAGGCGGTTTCTGCACACTTGCAATGGGGCTGGATGCTTTAGTGACTGCGTTAGGTTCAGGCTTTCGAGTTGTAGCCACTGCCTCTGTTTTTTTCTCTATTTTGGCCTGGATGGAGATAAAGGGAGGGCAAATTTCAAACCAAGAGGATGAGAGTCCAAATGCCAAGAAAAGAAGGCAGCAGGGAACTCAAGTCCAGGCCCCCAGGTAGAAGCACCACCTTTGTTCCTAGAAAGAACATACACGTTTCCTGGGCTACACCAAGCCAGAGATTTCTGAGTGGAAAAGCTGCAGGCCAAAATCTCAGCCAGAGGAAGAGATCAAGATGCCACTTACAGAGAAAAAAGGCACAAAGGAAGGCTGAGAACACCAAATTAGTGATTTTCTTCTGAATGTGTGTGAGGTGTGTTTTTTCAAATCATGATGTCCTCCCATCTAATGTTCTGATACACCCCCTAAGTGAACTGCCATGGCCACAGGGAGCCACTACTGGTGACGGGAAGTGTCATATTCTTCAGATATAATTGAATAGAAAATAATTCAATCCACAGACCAAGTTATTCAAGACCTTCTGAACCTAAGAAGAGCAAAAAGATAGGGAAAAGCACAGCCTAGGAGCTAGGCGAGCACTCTACCACTGAGCCACAACCCCAGCCCTCCTTCCTCAATTTTTAAGCTCTGGATTGAAGGAATTTATGTATCGTACCCTGGATGATGATGGTATAGTTTAAGTGCCAGTAAGAATATAAGAGATGAGGTTACTATTCCAGGGACTTGAACAGTCTCAAATGGACTTCTGATACCAACTTTTCCACACATTGAGCACCCATGCTTGCTAACAGTTAACACACAGTTCTGGAATCCACACAACCAGAACATTCTTGAAATGAGTGCTGTCTTTTTCCTTAACTGTACTCCCAGCATAATCCTGTTGTTTTGGAAAGCCAGAGGCTTGTAGCATAACTCATCCTGGCCACAAGAGGTCACCTCAGTCCTCTTTCAGACAGACTCCACCCAAGTCAGGCTGCCTTCTGCCTAGCCTTACATTTATTGTGCAGGGTAAGACCAGGAAAACCTGGGTTTAGATCATTGTCTCTCACCCTCACAGTCTCTGAGGGATCCTCTGTTTCCTTTGTAAAACAGAAGAATCCTTTGCCTTCAAGCAAAAAACCTAAACCCCATCCATAAGAACTGGAAGCCCCTCTGACTGAGATGCAAAAAGAAAGCTCAGAGCTGGGTCCACCCTTCCCTGCTGCTGGGATAAAGCCCACTACAGAGCCCAGGCTAAAATTCCCTGACACTGAATCCAATGTCCTAACAGTCCCACTTGTTTGGTGGCTGGGTGTGGCAGTGGAGAAGCAAGGGCTAGCATGCCAAGAACCTTAAGCTCTCTGAACTCACCCGGCCACCTCCAGGCTGATGCTTGATGTTTTCTGTGGAGCCGACCTTGGAGCGGACATTCTTCAGATCAGGGATAGAGGCATTGGTGGCCAGGCGATTCAGCCTGGGGGCAGAGGAGCTGGGCTTGGCTAAGGTGGGCTTCTTGTCCATGGGAGTTGTAGAAGGCCGGGGAGGTGTGGGAGTGGACTTGACTCGAGTGGAAGCCACCCCTGTTGGAAGTGCTGCCCCAGTGGGAGTGGTGTTTTTCTTCACAGAACTGGTGGAGGTGGTCTTTGAACGATTCAAGTCAGCTGCAAGGTAGGAGTGAGAGGTAGCAAGGGTTCATGGGGAGAGCAAAGGGGAATAGTAAAGATACAGAGAAGTGGGGATCTGAGTGGGGGTGGGATGTTACCTGGTGCAGACTTTGCAGTCATCTTCTTCACTTCTGCAGGTTTCCCCTCAGTCTTAATGGCTGCACAAACATTAATAAAACATTTAACCAACTGACCTACTGAATGGCTCACCTGATGCTGAGATTTATCACTTTCAACAATTACTAAATGAGCCAGGGACTGTGCTAGTCTCTGGAATAGAATAGTAAATTAGATAGTCATGTAAAGTCCTCAACCCCGTGTAGTTCAGGAGGTAAGGCACTGTGTCTTATTCTTCTCTGAAGTCCTGACAATGTCTTCAATATGGTCTTACAAGAAGGTCATCAATATATATCTATAAAATTGAATTTCCCTTTCCTTTCTTTCTCTCTTCTGTGTGTTTCTCTGTGTGTTGTACTTGAGATTAAACTACAGGCCTCACACATGCTAAGCAAGCCTTGAGCTCCATCTCCAGCCTTTCTTTTTAAATTTCGAGACAGGTCCTCACTAAGTGGCCTAGGCTTGTTATTTTCCTGACGCAGCCTTCCAAGTTACTGGAATTACAGGCATTTGCCACTGCACTGAGTTCTTTTATTTCCTTTTTGTTCTTTTGTGGTGCTAAAAACCAAAGGGCCTAGTAAACACTAGGCAAGCACTCTATCACTGAGTTACACTCTCAGCCCTGAACTGCTTGTTTCTTCTCATCGTATAAGCTGATGGTAACTAAATACTGGGAGCTGTGGAATCACTAAGAAAGGAACAATAAATTCTACCTGGGAGTTCATGACAGTACCCTCCACTCAAAATTTTTCTGAATACACGCAACTACTAAGCTCACACAATGCTCAAGAACTGTTAAGAAACTAGGCCCATCACGCTGCCACTGAGCAGTGCACCCACTGAGGAATGGCATAAGCAGGTCCACACAGCCAGTGATGCCAGCTGTAGCTAGGGTGGGGGCAAGGCCCCTTCTCACTGGTTCTCCTGGGAAGGAGGCACAGGTAATACTCACTAGTGGGTCGTTTGGGCAGTGGCATGGGGGGACTTTTATTGCTTGGCGCAGCCGAGGCAGCTGCAGTAGCTTTCGGAGCGGCTGGGGTGCTCTTGGGTCCAGGTCTGAGGGCTGGGGCAGAGGTGGGCTTGGATGGTAAGGCCCGCTTCTCAGGAGTCTTTGCCTCTGCAACGGACTAGAAATAGAACAGCAGGAATAAGGGCTGCAGGTCAGCAAGAATCACAGAAGAAATACCACAAGAGGGTTCTATGTGAGCATGCACCAGAGAATGGGGGTGGAGGACACTATGGGTATAACACCTACTGAAAGGAAAATATACATAGCTCTAAGAACAAAGTCCTCCAGACAAAGTAAGAAATTGGTCACGTAGGATGCTATGATCTGAAGTTAGGAAACAAGGTTAAACTACCTCACGGCAGTGTGAGTGAACAGCCCTCAAAGTTTATCATACCACGGCCTACAGAATCCACTATAAACAAGTACCTCACTAGACAAGATTAAATAAACACATAAGCAAAACAAAAACTAAAAGTGTTGTTTAGCTAAATTCAGCCACTCCTTTGGCTAACATACCCCCAGAGAATGCTGAGAAGGTTAGGGCTGCTGCAGATGGAGAAACTACAACCAAACCAGGTCAGAAGCCTGAAATGCAGCACTAGTGTGGACCGTAACTCACAGTATGTTCTCAGACAAATCATGGAGTCCCTCCTGAGCTTTATTTGCACATGTACATAAAAGAAATTACAAGAGCATCACTAAAGACCAGCTTTGAGAACATGTAATACCAGGGAATAGAGAATGCTAGATCTCTGAACAGAGACAATGGAAAAGGGCAGGCCCAGGCAACAGAGTGGGTGAGAAGCACTAGTGTCACAGCTGGGAATTGAGAGCAGAAGGAAAAGTTTCTTCAGGGTGAATGTAAAGCATCTGGGCCACTCAAGTTTTTCTTACATGGAGGCTGGGAACATCTCACTACTGAGGAATGGAAAGTATCAATTTAACCTGTTGGGATGAAGACTTTTTTTTAAAGTTCTTATTTTTTATTTTTATTATAGATGGACAGAATGCCTTTATTTATTTTTATGTGGTGCTGAGGATCAAACCCAGTGCCTCACGCATGCTAGGCAAGCACTCTGCCTCTGAGCTACAGCCCCAGCACAGACATTATTTTGATAAGCAAATATACCATGTTACTCAAGAGAGGAAGCCAAACCACAGACACAGTGGGCCCAGCATTTTTATAACAAGAGAAACAGCCACAGAGAGAGCAGGATGTTCATGGAGACAAGGAGGATAATGTTTAAGTGGCAAGTCGGCTAGGGAGGTGCACAGAAATTAAAGGCTGGCATCTAATCAAATCCAGCCTGAGTCTGCCAATGCAGGTTAATGGTGTGAAGAACCTGAAAAATGAAATCAGAGGAACTGGTTCTGCTACTAGCTCTGTAGAGTACATTTTGTAGGATTTTTTGCAGAGGAGTTCCCTCTGATTGCTATAAAATTAAAGACCCAAACCAGATGCTCTCTGGGGTCTTCTTCAAACTTTACAGATTATGACTAATATTCAATCATGATTGCTTTTACTATTGAAGTAGTAAAAGCAATCATGATTACATAAATGTACTAGTACAAGTTACTTGGGATAGAGATCTCTAAAGGAGAGCACACCTGTAATCCCAGCAAGCAGGGAGGCTGAGGCAGTAAGATCTTAAACTCAAGATCAGTCTCAGCAACTTAGGAAGACCCTATCTCAAAATAAAAAGGGGCTGAGGATGTTGCTCAGTGGTTAAGCGGACCTGGGTTCAATCTCTGGCAACAAAAAAAATGAAAAAAAAAAAAAAAGGATTGGGATTTAGCACCTCCAGACTAAAACTCTCCCCAGGATCCTTCCCCCGCTGAAAAGGATATAGCATCCTTTAGACATCAATCTCTTAACATCGCCTTAACAAGTTCTAGGACCAGCCTGCACTTTGTAACTGCAGTTATTTTGCTGTTTCTCAATTTATATTTTCTCCTCTGCCAGAATCAGAGACCTATTTGTTTTCCTGACTAGAGTTTTCTTTGTCTTTGTTTGTTTCTATAAATCTTTCTGTCTAAATCAGAGTAGAAATTATACACTTTAGTTTCCCTTGATCCTTATGTTAAAAAAAAAAAAAAAAAAAGCTATAATAAAACAGTGCTGGGGCTGGGGATGTGGCTCAAGCGGTAGCGCGCTCGCCTGGCATGCATGCGGCCCGGGTTCGATCCTCAGCACCACATACCAACAAAGATGTTGTGTCCGCCGAGAACTAAAATAAATAAATAAATAAATTCTCTCTCCCTCTCCTCTCTCTTAAAAAAAAAAATAAAATAAAATAAAACAGTGCTGTATAGGCCCCTGAGTACCAGGACAGTTCTGGAGTTAGACCAAGGCTCATACACTGGCTTTACTACTTATCAGCACATACTTTAGGAAGGTGATTTAATGAAGGTTAAGTTAAGCATCCTCAACTATAAAATGAAAATATTATACTGTGTTATGTGGGTAATTAAGAAAGAGAAAGAACTTTATGATATGAAAAAACTAATAATAGTACATTCATTTATTATTATTATTATTATTATTGAGTGAAACTTCACTTGACAGCTTCCCTCCTCCTTACACCCTCTTCTTGCTCCCCAGAAGCCTCAGGGAGGATGTAGCACTATGGATACTGTCACCTTCCCTCTACTCTCATACTTACACAAATTGTTTCTAAGGATCCAGAAACATTTGCCCCCTGGGTAAATGAGGATCAGAGAAAAAGCTTTCAAAGCTTTTATTATTCCTAGTCTATGATAGGATTTCTTATTTCTTAAGGGTTTCAATCTAGACTAAAATTCCTAAATTCTACCAGATTTGTTTTTTCCTTCCTTTCTTTACTTTTCTTTTTCCTTTCATTCTTCCTCCCTTCCTTTTTCTGTTTCTCTCTTCCTTGCAATCCTGGGGATGAAGCCCAGAGCCTTGTACATACTAGCTAAGCATTTCACCACTAAGCAATATCCCCATCCCTTAACCAGTTTTCTTTACAAGATTAAATTAACAAGATAACTTATTTGCCACCGTGTTTTTAAAAGAGTACCATGAGGCTGACCTAAAAGATCTTTTCAAAAAAAGCAAGAGTTTAAGGAAGGCAGCCACATCCTCCACCCATACTTTCTCCCTGGAACAATTCTGTAAAGCTACTGTGGCTCTAAATGTGACCGTTTCTGGGTTATAAAGAGGGTGGGTGACCTGGAAAACTGGAAAATATTAGAAGTAGCCAAGTGAGAAGTGTCCTAATGCCAAAAGCAAACTAAGTTGTCACATGATACTAGAACATGCTGAGATCAGCTGAGAGAGCCAGTATATTGCTGAAGTAATAGGCAAAATTCTCTTCTGCAGGATGATTAAAGAGAAAAGAAAATAATCAAATTTGGCAGGGATATTTCACCAAAAAAGTCTGATTAATATGTGGAGGAGGGGAAACCAATTAACAAGTACATAAGTGTAAAGAATGAGGAGAAGTTAGTTGAGACAAAGGAGGAGGACCAATTATAGATTACCTCCAACCGTAGATGGGATATTGCCTCCAACCAGGGCAAGGAAAGATAAAAAAGGGTTTTAGAGTGTTATGGCTGCATCACTGGGTCCCTGGACTGTTTTTCAAAGTACCCTTCTTTTTTTCCCCTTGTCTTTTCCTAATTCCACCAGTCTGAGTCCATCATCTGGCGGCAACAAGAGCCTATGAGACATGGACATAGGCATAGTATTTGGGTCACTACTTACCTTTGGCTTCACGTCTTTTGCAGGTAAGATGGAAGGCCTGGCAGTGGCAGCAGCAGGGCGTTTGGGTGGGGCAGCTGGTACTAAGCCTGAAGAAAGGCTCATAGGTTTTTTATTCGACCCACCAGAGGTGGTGGGAGCTGGTGGCTGCTTAGGGAGAGAAGTGGGCTGTGTTTTGGCTTTCGATGTTGAAGTCTTTGCAGGTTGAGTGGTGGCCAAAGGCTTTAGGTTGATGGTTTTTTATTTTATTTAAAAAGGTTTTTTTAAAGACCAACATCAAACACACAGAAAAGAATAAAAACAAATTAAAAAAGTATAAATTGCACAATTCAAAGTAAAATTATAAGCAATGAGGATTGATGCAACTGAAAATTAGCATTCCTTTCTTCTGAGCTCAGTAAATAGGAGAGGGACCACAGAACAGAAAACTGGGAATTCTCTCTTTGTTTTCTCTCTCTCTCTCTCTCTCTCTCTCTCTCTCCCTGGGAATTGAACCCAGGGGCACTTTACCACTGAGCTACATCCCTAGTTTTTTTTTTTTTTTTTCCCATTCTGAGACAGGGTCTAGCTAAATTGCTGAAGCTGGCCTGGAACATGCTATCCTTCTGCATCAGCCTCCTGAGTTGCTGGAATTACAGGTATGTGCCACCAATTTTTTTTTTTTCCTGCAGTGATAGGGATCAAGCTCAGGATCTCACACATACTCAGTAAACATCCTACCACTGAGCTACAACTACAGTCCCTCTTTTTCTTTTCTTTTCAGTCCTGGGATGAAATCCAGCATCTTGTACATTCTAAGCACGAATTCTCCCACTGAACTACACCCTCCAGTCCTATGGGAGTTATTTCTTAATGACAGGGCTACAGTCTAGCAGTTTGGCATCTGAAAATTTAAAATTCAGTAATAGCTTTACATTATTAACCATCTTTGGGGGCTACAATAATTCTATAAAGAAAATCATCAGCAAGTGTTTAAGGCATTATTATCTGTATTTTTTTTTTTTTTCTGAGATGGGGTCTTGCTATCTTGCCCTGGTTGGCTTCTAACTCATTAATTTGTCTCAGCCTCCTGAGTAGCTGAGAGTACAGGTCTGCCTTTTATTGCCTGTATCTTGATGGGGCAACAACACTACATCCCAAAGTGTAGCCTTGAACTTTGCACTAAGTACAAGTAAGGGTCTAAAGCTATGATCTACCTTAAAAATCTGCATTCCCTTTTCATGAACATAGATTTCAGAATACTTCTGCAATTATTCTTTTTGTTATTCTTAAGGGAAGCAGCAACAACCTCTATAGTACATTTTTATAGCTATATAAGGTAAAATGGTGAAAGGCAGAAAATTTAAATCTTAGGCTACTATGGTAAAATGGGAATATAAGATATTTTCTAAGCACTGGATCAAAATTGAGGATGGCCTCATAATAAGCTCAGAAAAAAGAAACTACATTCATGATTCAAGCAATAATAGCAGAAGGTACTATCCTAAAGAATAAAAGATAATCACCATTCTGGCACCTACCTTTGTTTTCTTCTCTGGGCTTGGTGGGAGCTCCTTGTTTGGTGGGGTAGTGATGTCATTTCCGGTCACACTCACAGCAGCCTTTCCTTCTTCTGGCCTGGCTATTCCTAAGTTGTGGAAGTAAATGGGAATTATTCTAAGCAAATGTTTTTAACATCCATTTTGAAAATTCAAGGCTTAGCAGAGCAAACCACTAACTAGCAGTTCATTCTGAAAAAAATTCACAGGGCTATGCTGCTGTAATGTGGACAAGATTCCTAAGTTCTCACTGCAGTAGAGGCTAATTTTAGATTCCAAAGATTCAGGGAAGTTGTCCTTCTGGAGAAAGCAATCTAAGTGGGACTTGTACAAATGATCAGTGGAAAGAAATGGTCCTTAAAGCTTCTTTTCTTTTCCCTGGAGACCAGCAAAAGGTTGTCACCTAACCATTTGCTCTAAGAACACACAAGGGAAAAAAAACCTCTTCCACCAATCTATCTTTTAGAATAAAAGTTGCTAAGAGATGGGGTGAGAGCCAAGAGATCATCTAATATCCTCCCCTTACTTCCTTTCCCTGTAAAGAATCACTTTATGGAAGATGAGAGATAAGTTCTTGCTCTAGTTCTTGCAGTGACCTAGATTTCCAACAAGGCGAGGAGATCTATGCAACCAAACTCAGGACCAGAAATAAAATCTAGTGTGCCTAAGGCAGAGTAGAGGGGTTACTTCAGAGTTCAACAGGGCTATGCCTCAAAGCACAAAAATACCTGAAATTTATAACCCTGGTGTGAGAGAAGGGTCTTTGTAAATGGCAGAAAATCTAGAATGACTATAGGGGGAAAAAAAAAGACAATAAAAGACAAATGTTTAACAGAAATAAAATTTGTAAATGTTATATCAAAGACAAATAGCTTTTTATATAAATAACTACTCCTAATGAATAACTCTTTTACAAAGGCCAAAGCCATGAGAAAAAAAAATAATCAAAATTGCAGTGGTGCATGCCTATAATCCCAGCAACTCAAGAGGCTGAGACAGGAGGACTGCAAGGTCGAGGCCAGCCTCACCAACTCTGTGAGGCCCCTAAGCAATCTGGCAAGACCCTGTTCAAAATAAAAAATAAAAATGGCTAAGGACGTGGCACTGTGGTTAGGCACCCACAGGTTCAATCTTAATACCAACACACATACACACTATAGTTAATCTTTTGAAATATGAAAAGTTTCTCTTAGTTGTGGTAAGAAAAAATTGAAAGCCAATGAAATGCCATTTTAACCTAATAGTGTAAAAATAAAAATCCTAAAATTCTATAATTGTTGGGGGACAAGAAGAGGAAACACAACAGAAGGTATATCATGAAGCTATTTGTTTAGAAAGGGATGGGGAAAATTTAGTATTATAAATACATTTGTATGTGTATTTCATTTGGAGAGGTACCGGGCACTGAATTCAAGGGCACTCAACCAATGAGCCATATCCCAGCCCTATTTTGTATTTTACTGTGAGACAGGGGCTCACTGAGCTGCTTAGGGCCTTGCTTTTGCTGAGGCTGGCTTTGAATTCATGATCCTTCTGCCTCAGTCTCCTGAGCTGCTAGGATTACAGATGTGTTATGCATGGATTGTATGTGTATTTTAAAAGGATCTTCAGAAGGGCCATTAGAAAACAAAACAGCAACCACCTAAAGGGTTTACGGATGGGGTCCGGGTAGGACAGGACACGAAACTGGGGAAGTTTGGAGTATTAAAGCTTTTGCGATTCTTAAAACTTTTCCGATTCTCAGGAAGTTGTAAAGATGTATATAGGGAAGTCCTGTGTACCCTTTGGAAGCTTTTAAGCTATAAATTTGATTCCTTTAATGGTTACCCAGGTTTATCTATTTCATCTTGGTTGCATTTGAGTAATTTATGGTTTTCAAATAAATGGTTCATTTCTTTTGGGATGCTGAACTTAATTATTAATTTAACAGCTGAAGTGATACCCAATTTCACTTCTATATTTGTGATTTCTGCTTTCTCTCTTTTTAATGTCAGTTCTGTCAAAGATTTGTCATTTTCACTGATATCATAAAAAGAATAAGTTTTTGGTTTAACTGATTTTCTCTATTTTCTTATTTACAATATTACTCATTTCTGATCCCTCCCTTCCTGCTTGCTTTTCTTCCTCCCCCCCACCCCCCACCATTTTCTGGGGACTGAACCCAGGAGGCAAAACCCACTAGGCAAAATCCCCAGCCCTTTTAATTTTGAGACAGGGTCTTCCTAAATTGCCAGGGCTGGCCCTGAACTTGGAATCCTCTTACTTCTGTCTCGAGAATTACTGGGATTATAGGCACATGCCACTGCACCAGGCTTTTTCTAGGGCGCTTAACCACTGAGCCACATCCTTGGCCATTTTTATTTTTGTGACAGGGTCTCACTAGATTGCTTACAGCCTCACCAAATTGCCGGAGGCTGGCTTTGAACCTGTGATCCTCCTTCCCTTCCCGAGCTGCAGGATTACAGGCATGCATCTGTAATTTTTACTTTCAGCCTATCTATGTTCTTATGTTTTACATTAATTTTTTTGAGATAGCATACTCTTACAATCTGTCTTTTCATTGTAATGTCCAGACCATCTGCACTTCAATTATTAATATTTTAGGGCTTATTTAAATCTGACACTTTATTATTTAACCGTTCCTTTTTTTTAAATTTTAATATTTATTTTTTAGTTCTTGGCGGACACAACATCTTTGTTTGTATGTGGTGCTGAGGATCGAACCCGGGCCGCATGCATGCCAGGCGAGCGTGCTACCGCTTGAGCCACATCCCCAGCCCTTAACCGTTCCTTTTGTTTCTCATTCTTCTTCTCTTTTCTAGCATTCCAGTGGGTTACTTGAACAATTTTTAGAATTTTATTTTTAATGTTTTAAATATATTACTTTGTATTTCTCTTGTTCTAGATATTACATACAATACACATATAGTCTACTGTGTCAATGTTTTATTACTTTGTACAACTGAAACCTAACATTATTTATAATCCTTTACCTTTTAAAAATAAAATCTTAGTGGGACTGGGGTTGTGGCTCAGTGGTAGAGTGCTGGCCTAGCACACATGAGGCACTGGGTTAGATCCTCAGCACCATACAAAAATAAAATAAAGGTATTGTGTCCATCTACAACTAAAAAATAAACATTTGAAAATATAAATAAAATCTTAGTATTTCTTCTTCATATACTGAGTATTACATCAGAAGATCTTATGATTTTTGCTTCAAATATCTAATATAGATTTAATATTTATTTTTTTAGTTTTCGGCAGACACATCTTTGTATGTGGTGTTGAGGATCGAACCCGGGCCGCACGCATGCCAGGCGAGAGCACTACCGCTTGAGCCACATCCCCAGCCCCTCTAATATAGATTTAAAAACTCATCAGGGGAATAGTTTATTAAATTTACCCCTAGTTATACTCATCCCGTTGTTGTTCTTTCATTTTCAAAATTCTAAGCCTCTGTGTTGTCCTATTTTTTCTTTTTGGAGAGCTTCCTTTTGCCATTATCTAAGGATATCTCTACTAGCAACAAATACCCTTAGTGTTCCTTTATCTGAGAATGGCTTTATTTCCCTTTCAGTCCCAGACGGTTTTACCAAACATGGAATTTGCAGTTGACAATTCTTTTAGCACTTGAAAAACACTGTGTCACTTCCTTTGTCCTCCATAGTTTCTGGTTTAAAAAAAAAAAATGCTGTCATTTAAATTGATATTCCCCTACAGGTATCACAACATTTCTCCCCAGTTGTTTTTAAAATTGTTCTCTCTACGGGCTGGGGATGTGGCTCAAGCGGTAGCGCGCTCGCCTGGCATGTGTGCGGCCCGGGTTCGATCCTCAGCACCACATACCAACAAAGATGTTGTGTCCGCCGAGAACTAAGAAATAAATAAATAAATATTTTTATAAAAAAAAAAATTGTTCTCTTTGTCTTTAGTTTATAAAAGTTGTTATTTTTGTTGCTATTATTTTTACAGTCCTGAGGATTCAACCTGATATGCTTTACCACTGAGTTACATCCTCAGCCTTTTTTGAGTCTAAATTGCTGAGGCTAACCTCAAACTTGTGATCCTCTTGCCTCAGTCTCCCAAATCACTGGAACTATAGGCATGGGCCACTATACCTGGCTTTTTTTTTTTTAATTTTTAATTTTGTTATTTTAGCAGGCAATCATCCTGTTTATTTTTAATATTTAGGCTATGGTTATAGTTCTAGTGGAAATTTTGTTTTCAGAGTCCCTGCAATACAGTTCTGACTGACTGTGTTCTGGCTCTGCTGAGGCTCTTAATCCCTACTGGTACTGCCTGAAAGGGCTGAAAGCAATTTCTTGGGCCACCGAGTATCACTAAGTGGGGGCTGAGTGATAATGTAGCCACGGAATGAAGATAACTTCTCCTGGTCTGTTCTCTGGCTGCTTGGGTGGGAAGTTTGATCTCACAGGGCTGCTGAGGGTGGGAAGTACCTACCAGGGCTAAAGTTTTCTGCTGCTAGAGGAAAGGAGATAGAGGAAACCTATCAAGGTATCCTTCTGCCAATAGACAGAGGGCTGCTAGATACCAGGCTTATAGGTACTGATGGTGCTGTCACCTGGTGAAGGGCAAGGGATGGGCCTCCCTGTAACTCCTGCCAGTGTGGGTGGGTCAGGTCTACAGCTCCTGCTGACTGTGAAGTACACAATTAGTAGGTCCTCATATGCTCCCTGACAAAGCATCTACAGCCAACTGAGCCTAAGCTAGGTGTGGGTAGGGACATGGGGTTCACCAGCAGATCTTTGCTGGGGCCTTTCCTAGTATTTTTGCAAGAGAAAGCAGGCTTTTCTTTCTTTTTCCTTCTGCCTCCCTCCCTTCCTTCCCTTAATTTTATTCTTGTCTGTTTGTTGGTAATTCCAGATTTCAGGCCTTTCCAGTGCCCAGAGATATATAGAAGATTAAAAAAGAAATCTCCAGGGCTGGGGATGGGGCTCAAGTGGTAGCGCGCTCGCCTGGCATGCGTGCGTGCGGCCCGGATTCGATCCTCAGCACCACATACCAAAAAAAGATGTTGTGTCCACCGAGAACTAAAAAATAAATATTAAAAATTCTCTCTCTCACT